GAGGAGTAGTTATTTATTTCCCACAGTAAGTGCGGTGGATTTTATTTGTTTCACGAAATACCTCCATATGAATCTACTCTTTCCTTTGCTCCTGTGGAGCAGGTTATATTGGTAGCACGGGTCGGCGCCTTTCCAAAAGAATCAAGGAACACCTCATGGCATGGCTGAGAAAAGGTGAAGTCAGGAGCATAAACAGCGCAATTCACGCCCACCTTGTTGATTCCAGACAACATAAATGGAGCCATTTTTGCTGAAACTTTTGGATATTACCTTCAAAAAAAGCATTCTCTCTCTCATTTAGGATATCAGGTGAACACCAAAGAATCCTTTCGAGTTATCTACAAGGTCCCACTAAATTATTCAAAGTCTCTGGGTCAGCGCTTGCTAGCAACAGCAGAAGAGACCGCTATCGGGTCTACGAAATTGGCGTTGTGTGCACAAAAGAACTTCCTACAAGCTCCGCATCTGGCGTGGCTCACAGTCCCTCAGAGGCATGCACTCCTCCGTGCTCTGTTTGTCTACCTTCTCCCTCCCCTAGACTGTTCCACCAAACCCTGCACTCATAACCAGCCTTCTCTTATCGACTTCCCCCCCTCCTATTCCCACGACCCACTTGTGCGAAAAGACGATCACGTTTCAATGTGGACCCTGTTCCCATATAAATGTATTGGCCTCACGAGTACGCATCAAAAACGGAGAAGAGCACATCTGAGGCACGTGTAGACGTGAATCCACGCACGTACGTGTCCTCTGGACAACAGCGGTCCTCGTTGCTGCTCAGGATAAACACTGAGTTTCCAGTGTTATCCTCTTAAATCTGCAAAATGTATGATCGGTTGTGGGAGTTATCTCAGTAACCGCCAGTTTCAAGTTTATACAATAAAGTACCTGGCCGCCAGTCTTGATTATGGCTGCGCAGTGCTCAATGATCTGACGCATACAGAAGACCGCCATGAGTTTTCTATAAGGAATATTCATAGCCCGTGTTTTCTGGATTGACAATCGTAGAACAGTACCTAACGGTAAGAGCAAATTTAGCCACAATGCCTACAAGATGCCTGCTAGCATTTTGGGCAGATAAACTATCAGTGTGT